GGCTTGGAAAAGGTATAAAAGGCGTCGGACGAATCGAGGGTAGTCAGTCAATTACTTGTGGACTTTCGGACTCAGTTCCCAGTCAGCTACCACAAGGAGACAGTTCCAGTCGAGGACTCTAGTCCAACGCTGAGTTCTTATCCTGACCTTGTACCTCTATCCCCCAATTACATCCTCGAGTTGACCACCAACGTGCTTGTTCGTCACCACCGCCAAGGGACATCGTCTCAAGGATTTGCCTTTCATTTATACATCCGAGAATACTGACTACAGGTTACCGGACACCGCCAACGTCCCTTCCAAGCACTCGTAAACCGCCTTCGCCCATCCCGAGCACTCGGGTCTCTCACACACACACACCTTCGACCTTTGACCAACACACACACTCGGATCCAACAAGGCAGACCACCTACAGCCTCACGTTCTATTAGGAACCAACTTTAAAGAGCCCTAGAGGACGAACCAGCCACTTTGTGATCCCACATATTCGCCTAGTGGCACCGCGGTCCTTATCACACCGTGCGATATATTCGGACCTGTTGAAAGAAGAACAGGCAGCGGAGGATTTTTCCGAAGGTCACGAGTAAAACTTGCGAACTCGCGACCTGACCCTATACCCGACTCACCTGTACCGGTTACATCCCAGAATCGATTTGAACTTCTATCTATTCCGGATACCGATGAGACGGCGAATGCAAGCGAAACCGAGGAAGACGTGAAATGGAGTCGAGAGGCCACTCCCTCTCGTAGCTCCAGAAGACGAAAGTCAAAACGCGAGCGGACGGAGAAAGCGGAATGGCGCAGACTCCCCGCTGGAAGTGCAGAACGAATATTGGCTCGAGCCATAGCCCGGCCTTTCGAAGGAAAAGCAGTCATAACCCGGTGGGCCCACCCACACCGACGAGGGGAAGTGACAGATGAATTGGTCGACCGGGTTACTCACGCCTACCGACCCGACGCCCTGGATGCGCTGGACAGTCTGAGAGAACCCCCAGCTTTTATACGGGCCATGAACAGCAATTCAATGATGATCCCGGTCACCATCCAAGAACTGAATAATCTTCGAGGATGCTCGGTCACCGGGTTGGTGGACTTGTTCCTCAAGCACGAGAAATGCGAATTCGAGAAGCGAGAGGTCGAATACCTCAGAGTGATTATCGGAGACGGCAAAATTCGAATGGACCCTGTGAAGGTGGCCGGAGTCCGGGAGTGGGCTACTCCGAATACGGTGAAGGACGTTCAGAGTTTCCTCGGATTCCTGAATTTCTACCGGCGGTTTATCCAGGGGTTCGGGGATCTGGCCAAACCATTAACCCGGTTAACCCAAAAAAACCTGTGGTGGTGTTAGGGACAAGAAGAACACGGAGCGTTCCGGCGGCTTATTGACGCTGTAACCTCTGAACCGGTCCTCCACTTCCCCACGGACGATGGAGAAGGCGCGTGGAGGCAGACTCCTCCGACTTCGCGACAGGGGTCTGTTTAACTCAATGCCAGAACGGAGTCTGGGTGCCCATCGCATTTCTGTCCAAAGGACTCAACAATACGGAAAGGAACTACGATATACACGACAAGGAAATGCTCGCCGTGATGCGGGCGCTATACGAGTGGCGCCATTTCTTCCAAGGCAGCGACAAAAAGTTCGAAATCTGGACGGACCACAAAAATCTGGAATACTTTACCACGACCAAGAAGCTTAACCGTCGACAGGCGCGCTGGTCGTTGGAACTCAGCGAATACGACTTTACCCTGATTCACAAACCAGGGAAACAGCACACGAAGACCGACGCGCTGTCCCGTCGTGGGGGACATGAACGCGGCGAGTTGGATAATTCCAACATTGTGTTGCTACCAAACAAACTATTTTCCAACAACCCGGAATCTTCGGTCAGTGGGGCAGAGTTCTTGCGGGCCATGCCCGCGGTGCTCGACGACACACCCGGGGACCAATTTATGGCCGACATAAAAACATTGAAGGACAAATGGGAGGACGTGGCGAAGGAAGGACTAAAGAAGTCGGGCAGTGGTTGGGCGGAAAGCCCGGACGGGTTTCTCACCAAAGACGGACTGGTCTACGTGCCGGAAAATGAAACTCTCCGTCACCGGATTCTCTGAGTGCATCACAACGACTTCCTGGCAGGACATCCCGGGCAGTACCGAACGACGGAACTCATTACCCGAAACTACTATTGGCCCACGGTGCTCCGAGACACGAAAAAATATGTGGCGGCATGCCCGACTTGCCAATGAACGAAGGTTTTCCCAGTGAAGCCGAGGGGAGCATTACACCCGAACGCGGTACCCGAGAAACCGTGGCAGAACATCTCCATCGAACTCATCGTCAAATTACCGGAGAGCAACGGCTTTGACTCCATTGCGGTGATTGTAGACCGCCTCACGAAGGCAATCCGAGTTCTACCCTGCACGGAACACATCAGCGGGGAAGGGATTGCGCGGCTATACCGCAACCACGTATGGAAGGACTACGGATTGCCAGAAATCGTCATCAGCGACCGGGGCCAGATATTCGTCGGCCACTTTATACGGGACCTCCTGAAACTTCTGGGCATTAAATTGAACGCTTTGACGGCTTATCACCCGCAGACGGATGGACAGACGGAACGCGTCAATCAGGAAGTCGAACAATACCTTAGGGTGTTCACAAACTTCTTGCAAGACGACTGGGCGGACTGGCTATCGCTGGCAGAGTTCAGCTACAACGACAAAGTTCACACAACAACAGGTGTAAGCCCGTTCTTCGCCATGCTCAGATTCCACCCGCAGAAAGGGACCGAGCCTAGGCTCGAGGTGCCCACGGAAGCGGCGGACGACTTCGCGAAGCGAATGCACTTAGTGCGAGAGGAAGCGGCCGCCTCAATGAGGGCGGCCCAGGAAACGATGAAACACTTCTACGACCGGAAGCGGGGGGAAGATCCCGGATATAACCCGGGAGACGAAGTTTACCTATCGAGCAAAAACCTCGTAACGCATAGGCCGATGAAAAAACTGGACGACAAACGTCATGGACCCTTCAAAGTGGTTCGAAAGGTCGGCGCATTGTCCTACGAGTTGAAACTTCCAGACACATGGAAAGTCCACCCTGTGTTTAACACAGTATTCCTGCGTCCGTGGAAGCCACCAGTGGCCGAACATCAGAAAACAGTACCTCCCCCACCCCGAGACGTACGGGACGGAGTAGACGTATACGAGGTGGGGGAAGTCCTGCGAATTAAGAAGGCAAAAAACTCCTTGCGGAAGAGGCGCTCAACGACTTCTACAAGAGGAACCCGGGGGCACCAAGGGAAATTCCGAACGGGAAAGGCGGCTGGAAGATATACAACCCTCCTAGGGCTTAAAGCAACATGCTTCAGAGACGAAGCATCCTTAAGGGGGGGCTAATGTCATGATTCCCACTTTTTCCTTATTTCCATCCTAAACTCCCCGGGTTATTCGCCTAACACCCGCCCCGGATTATTCAACTTCACACCGGGTTATTCAACCACAATCGGAATAACCCGAATGCCGAGATTAATGCCGACCCCGGATCAGGAATCCCATCAGGTGCCGCATTGATCCTTTTATTTCAACTTCCCTCCGATTGCTTTCTCAACAATCACCCCTTTCTGCCTGGTGCATGCGGCGACGTCGACCGTCACTGGCAACGCCTCTGACATATTTCACATATATTCTAATTACTTTGTTACCAGTTACTAGGTATTTTACTATAAAACCCCTACTTACAGCTCTGTATTCTTTACACTATTCTAGTCTATTCTCCAGAGCTTAATTGGATTATCTCAAACCTATCTCTTTCTGTATCGCCAGTCGCCTACGTCGCAGTAACCCTGCTAGTTAAGGGTCTGTGCTGACAAGGGGGCCGATGTGATGGACGAGGAGGAGGACTGGGAGGAGGAGGTGGACGAGGGCAGGGCGGGGGTGGAGCTCGGGGGCAGGGAGGCTGAGGTGGAGGGCTGGGACGGGGACGAGGTGGAGGGAGAGGGTGGTGGGGGTGCGGAGGGGGTGGCCGCGCCGGTGGTGGATCTGGACAGATATTAGACTTGACTTCCTTTCCTTGGGTTGACTTGAACGGTACGCACGAGCTGAGACTACCTGCACACAAAATCAGCCTCCTCCACAAGAAAAAGTAGAAGAACGCACTCATGTTGAATTAAATCTTCTTTTTTGTTGAGTTTTTGAGGTGTGGTGGTGTGTTACATGCAGTGGGTAAGGAGCGTGGGCGAGTGGTGCAGCGGAGACACGAAAGGAGACTCGATACTGTACCGATCTGTAGGGGAGCAACGGCCCAAGGACCGTGACAAACCCGTTGCCTCTTTTTCAGGCGACGGGACCTAGGGTTACCGTGACCGTTGCCTTTGAAGGCAACGGAAATTCAGTGTACCAACGAGAATGGAGGCAGCGGGGACGATTATCAGGGTGGTGGAAGCCTCTGGCAATGATTGAGGTTCACAGGATCCCGCAGGATTTTTTTATTATGATTTTTACGATTTTTTCGTGAATGTCACGGTTTTTTTGGGCAACCAGTTCGACCGTTACCGTGATGAACGCAACGCAACGGGCGGTCCGTTACCGTGACCGTTGCTCCCCTACAGATCGGTACAGTAGACGGACTTGGAGAAGGTCGTCGGATGAGAGAGTCGGTGCCACGATTGGTCAGCGGAGACCGCGTGTGGGGCTGATCCGCATGAAACAAGAAAGGGTGGGAATGCAACCAAACTTCAACGAGTTCAACCACCGCGGACTGCTTTTTTTAAGAAAGAGAAAGAAAAAACCCCGGCATCTGTACGAATGCCCTGACCTCAATTCGAACAAGGACCTCCCACGTGTATACGGCCAGAATCATGTAAGTGGAATGGGTGTGCACCATGCACCTTCAGGTCTCATACTAATAGAAATTGAAAGCTCATTTTAATGAGTCACTTCCATTCAAGTACCTTCAAGCTGAAATGAGAAAGAAAAAATGCAATCAAGGAAGTTAAGCTGAATGACCTGACCTCGGTTCGAACGAGGACCTCCCACTTGTAGACCCGAACTTCTTAAGTGGAATGGGTGTGCACCATGCACCACCAGGTCTCCTACCATATGATTTTGAGCCCATTTTATGAGGCACTTTGAACCTGACTTTTGTGTTTCTTTTGGTTATCGACTGTCCGACACACATTCCGATTCCCCGATACATGACAGAACCACACCACACGCCATGATCTCACAATGAATGTGAGTGCTCCTCTCAGCAGAAGCCTTCAAGTCAATAAGACAAAAAAGCCACTCTCATTCAGGCCATAGTACGACCTGACCCCGATTTGAACGGGGACCTCCCACTTGTATATGCACAGAAATTTGTAAGTGGAATGGGTGTGCCCCATGCACCTTCAGGTGTCATACCCATAAGATTAAAAAGTTCATTTTATGTGAGACTTTTAACTCCCTAGGCTGAAATTTGGGGGGGAAACAGGCATATGACCTGACCTCGATTCGAACAGGGACCTCCCACATGAACACTTTTGTATGAGGATGATGGGTTCAAGTAAAATGGGTGTGCACCATGCACCACCAGGTCTCATGCCATACAGATTCAACCCCAGTGTCCTTTCAATTTTTAAACACTTTCATCTTGGTCTTATTTGGGTCTTGTTGCAGGTATTTTCTCACCTGTTTAACTCAGACTAGGCTGGGGAAACATTATGCAAAGTGGGTTGAAAGAAAAAGCCTGCCTGAAAAAAAAGGCGGGGATCACCAGCTATGACCTGACCCCATCGAACGGGGACCTCCCACATCAATTTTTTGTACCACTAGCCATTGTAAGGAAAGTGGGTGTGCACCACACACCACCAGGTCTCCTAACATATGATTTTGAGCCCATTTTATGAGGCACTTTGAGCCTGTCTCTGAGGTTTCTTTCATTTATCTCAACTATCTGGCACGTAGTCCCCAATATGTGATAGAGCCACCACACACCATGACCATACAATGAATGAGTGCTCCGCTCGGCAGAAGCCAACAAGACAAAAAAGCCATTCTGGTTCACGCCACAGTACGACCTGACCTCGATTCAAACGGGGACCTCCCACTTGCACACGCACAAAAATTCGTAAGTGGAATGGGTGTGCACCATGCACCTTCAGGTCTCATACTAATAGGCATTGAGAGCTCATTTTATGAGTCACTTCCAATTCAAGTGCCTTCAAGCTGAAATGAGAAAGAAAAAATGAGAAAGAACAGGTTGAACTAGAATGACCTGACCCCGGTTCGAACGAGGACCTCCCACGTGAATCTTTTTGTACCACTAGCCATTGTAAGGAAAGTGGGTGTGCACCATGCACCACCAGGTCTCATACTAATAGGAATTGAAAGCTCATTTTATGAGGTCCTTCCAATTCAAGTGCCTTCAAGCTGAAATGAGAAAGAAAAAATACAATCCAGAACAATTGAATGACCTGACCTCGGTTCGAACGAGGACCTCCCACGTGAGTCTTTTTGTACCACTAGCCATTGTAAGTAAAGTGGGTGTGCACCACACACCACCAGGTCTCCTACCTTTGAACCTGACTTTTGTGTTTCTTTCGTTTATTTCGACTATCTGGTACATATATGACGGTATTTATCGTTGAATATTATTTACTTTCATTGGAAGTACATCCAACAACTCAAGATGAACTCCAGATGAGGCACTCACACCCTCAAATTGCACTGTGCACACCTGAAATCAAACATCAACCTGTGTGATGTGAACATCAATGTGCTTGATGTGAACATTCAACATGTCACACGGTTGAACGGTGAGGTGTACAAGATCACAGCATTGACCCAGCGATCTCTTAGCCGATCCCAGCCCTAGCGGATCCCAGCACTCATCCAACACCCGAAGCGACCCAGCTAAGCTAACCGACTTCCTTCAGCACCCAGCAGTAGCCCAGGGCTGGTTCTCTGCTTCCCAAGCCGCCCAAACCTTCCCACACATAATTCCTGTTAACCTCATTCATCCGGACGCACCCCACCGCTTCCTTCCGGAAAACTCCGATCAGTATCACCGAAAAAGATCTCTGTTTGCACTCTAACCTAGCTCCTACAACAAAATGTCAACCAATGGTAAGCCACATCGCGTTTTCCACACTTTACTTTTGACAGCTTAGCCGAGCTTTTATTAGCTCGGCTAAGCCAAAAAAGCCGAAAAGTCGCAAGACCGCAAGCTATGTCAAAAAAACCAAAAGACGCCAAAAAAAACTTTTTTGTGAGCCATCCCATTGAAGTCTAGACGTCATTTCTGCCAACTTTTTTTTTTACCACAAGAGAAAAAGACCCGAAAGTCGCAAGACAATTGTGATCTTGCTGATGCAAGTTTGCATAGTATTGAAAATGATTCAACTAACCACTTGAAAGACAACACCAACCCACTCTACCAGGCACTCTCTGGGATGATGTCCTAATTTTTCTCAGAAATGCGGGTCAAATGGCATGTTTTCATTCGATCTGATCTGAACCAAACAGCAGCCAAATAGTCCAATAAATGAGTGGTGCCTTGCCACCACTGCAAGGGGTGTTCCCAAACCTTGTCAGATATTCTAAATGGTATCAAGGACCGAGTAACAATTCATCTCCTCGTTAGATTTTCTTTGTTCAACCAAACAGCAGCCAAATAGTCCAATAAATGAGCGGTGCCTTGCCACCACTGCAAGGGGTGTTCCCAAACATTGTCAGATATTTTAAAGGGTATCAAGGACCAGGTAAAAATTCATCTCCTCATCGGATTCTCAAAAATACGGGACAAAGGTCATGTTTTCGTTCAATCTGATCTGAACCAAACAGCAGCCCAATAATCTAATAAATGAGCGGTGCCTTGCTACCACTGCACAGACAATTCTCCAATGTTGTCAGATATTCTTCAGTGCACCAAACACCCATTAGTGATTCCTCTCTTCGTTGCATTCTCAAAAATACGGATCACAGGGCATGTTTGTTGTATTATCAAATGTGACTCAAGGGATTGCTTTTGTTCAGCGTACACTGGAGGAACCATTGATGAATACAATTCATGCTCAACTTATCTTACTCAGCCGTTATCAAGTACCTTCCTAGCGAAATTCTCTTACTTGACCTCAGGGGGTGGGTTCATTTGAATTGATCTAAGCCAAACACGAACCAAACCGGTCATGCATGTTTAATCTGCAATTTCCAAGATATTCAGAGCCTTCATGGCATCAATGTAGCCTTGGCACAATCACTTGGTTTACTACATTTCTTGCGAGCAAACACAAACTGTAGGATATGGTAGGAGTTGACATCAGCCATTTGACATTTTGATTGTGGCATTTCACGTGTTTTTTGGCGTTTCGGTGTTGTTCACCAAAATCAAGTCGGCCATTGTAGGGTGGTGGGACAAGGACTATGGCCAATATGTTGTGTGGTGGTCCAGAGGGTAGTAGAGGTACTCGGAGAGGTCGAATAACCTCGCAATCAATCCGCGTTCCGGAGATATTTGATGATCTTGTTCCGGCGTTGTCAGATTTTCGCCGAAAATTGTCGCGTTGCCACGTTGTGACGGTTTCGCGGGGGATTGTCGCGTTTTTCGGCATTGTTTGGCGTTGTACAATGCCACAATAGATTTGTCAAAAGTCTGATGGAATAAACAAGCACCATGACATAGAGAGCATTAGATGGAGGGTAAGTAATAAATAGCCCCTAAGATGTTAGTGTGCGGAGATGGGCCATTCTGACCTAAACAGACCCGATGTCCTCAAGGATCACTTGATTAAGGCAACTGCATGCCGCTCCTACTCATTGGTGGATTTCGCATCTGCAGGGCGACTAGTTACCACGGGTCCGCAGGCTGATCACAGATAGACTGCACCCTGCTACTAGTTGTAAGCTTTGCAATCCACTCTCCTGAAGTGACAAGAGTAAGTGGTTGGTCAGTCAACCCAGATAAACAGTGACCGACCTTTATCTGGAACGATATCCTTCCTCTCCATTGTAGCGGCCATTTCCGCGTTCAGAAGTTTAGACCTTTTGTTTGTAAACATCAGAACCCTATGCAACGGTCGTACAGGAGAGCACAATATTGATCACTCTCCTCTATGCTTGATTCACCTCCATCAACCCTAAACACTGATTAGCTACCAGGCACTGTTTGATCGCCAAGTGTTTCCTTTTAGTATAAAAGTAGCAGTAGAATCTAATGTACAGTAGATTCTCCTTGTCTAACCTCAGGGACTACCTTGGTCTGAAACTGTGCTTGATTCTCTGAGAACCTTAAACCCTGCTCACTTTCTTATCACTCTCGGGGTTAATCTATCCACACCCCGCTATCTCGAGGACGTCTTCCTCCCATATCGGGGTCTCACCATATCAGCATGTCGTAAATGATATACTACTCCTGATCCCGCACACCGGGGTTTGAAGTCCTAGTCAGGCTCTCTGCCAAAGCCAACATCAGGCTGACCTTGTGTCATTGCTGACATGCCGCCAACAAATCCCACATTGCCATAAACTTATGGATCATGACCAGTATATAAGGCTCCAATGGTTTTGATTTATAAATAGTGTTAAACGGTTAAAAGAGTTTTTCTTTAGGTTTAGTTTGGGGTTCTGGGCAAACCATTTTATAAATGGTTTAAATGAACCGTCACGATTTGCCTCACACCTCCTACCTGCAGCTGGTTTGCTGCCTGCAACTAGGTAATTAGTTAGGGGTTATTTCCCGAACCGGAAGGCAGTTGAACCATCAAATCTGTCTGATGTACTTCGGTAGCCAGAGAGGAGTCCCTGTTGGCTCAAATGTCTATGAGAGCATTGTTTGGGGTTTGGTTTGAATAAACCACATTTTTCACTGACCTGCCTCTCACATTGTAAATGGTGAACTCAATTATCCGCAAAAATACCCTTGATAAACAGTTTTAAACCATTTAGGTTTAGTTCACTAAAAACTTTAAACCTAAACTAAATGGTTGGAGCCTTACTAGTATATTAGTGCCTCCACTCTGGTCAAACTCAGCAGCACGAAATGCGGAAAGTTGGAGACATGGGAGAAGCGACTCAATAACTGTTGTTATTTTCAACACTGAGGCTGAAAGACCTCAGCACTTCAGTGGCCGGGGCGAAGAATACTTCTCCCTTGGAGTAGGTCATGGTATATCTGGTCGAGACCATTGAAAAAGTGGTAGCCAGTTCCAGTGGCTGCAACACCATCCTGCAAACCGTGGGGCTTTGAATTGTTTGGTCATGAAGTCAGGAACACGGGTAGTGCTGATACCAACCAAGTTCTGGGGAGAGGACGTCCCAGTAATTATTCGAATGGTGTCTGATTTTCGAGGATAACATGTCCAAATTCAATGTTAACCTTTGGTTTTGAAAATGCCTGAGCCAAGCCATGCAAAGGCCATGGTGTTGGCCTAAGCCATGGCTTTTTTGGTGGTAACTTGGATGAATTTTGACTTTGGCCTGACAAAATCCTAGGCCAGGCCAAAGCCAAACCTACCTGAGGCCAGCTAAAGCCTAGGCCAAGCCAAAAAGCCAGGCCTTTTTGGCCTCAGGCCAAAGCCAGAACACCACTACCTATACTCGCTCTATTAGGGCAGACATATTTTAACATAATCAACTATATCCTTGGGCCTCAGGCTGTTTGCCTGACTTAAGGAAATGTTTCAGAGGCTGGAGCTGGTTGAAACCGCTGGGTGATGGCTGGGTTTGACAGCCAGCTCTGGGGTTGATCTGTCTGAACCCACGGTTCAACATGGGTTGATATGGGCTATGATCTGGGTGTCCTGGGTTGATTAGTATTATGGCAGGGAAGATCTGGGCAAGACCACCAAGGCAGATTATTCCTACAATGAAATAAGGCTTGTTGATTGTTCAATTTGACGGGCGGAAGTGCTGATCCATGTAGGTTAGTGTAATTCTTGCAAGGACAACATCTAATGGTACATTGTGCACTGCAGGTATAGTACATTGTGCACTGTAGCTATAGTACATTGTGCAATATATGTGTTCTGGGTTCAATTGGGCCTAGCTCATGTGCCAGATTTACTCTGCATGTGCAGCTCATGTGCCAGATTTACTCTGGATGTGCGGCACTGGGTGTCCATGTGCACTGTTCAATGTGCACTCATTTGTGTTGATATTATTCAACGAAAAAAAGCTTTAGCTTTTATACACATAGTCCCCAATACATGATAGAGCCACCACACGTCATGAACATACAATGAATGAGTGAGTGAGAACCAGTCAAATGAGTGCTCCTCTCAGCAGAAGCCAACAAGACAAAAAAGCCACTCTCGTTGTTCTGGGTACGACCTGACCCCGGTTCGAACGAGGACCTCCCACTTGTACACGCACA